CTAGACTTAATTTAGCGATCATATATTATACTTAAAATTCTTTTCATTTTATTTTTTTTTAATTTGTAAATATCTTATATTTATTATTCAATAATGCTTGAAATTAAAATTAATTGTATTATCTAATACATATCGATATGCAAATTATTTTATTAGAAATATTGCTATCTAGAAAATGAATTAGACGCGCTAAAAAAAAATAAAAAAAACTAAGCAAATTAATGTTAATTTAGGCAAATATATTTAACTAGTTTAAACGTACCAAAAATATAGAGTTAATTATTCGCTATTGAATATATAATTGATCTATATACTCCTGATCTGCATAATCGTACCGTACTGTCTGGCGAATCGTATCGTACCGGTTTTCCATATACTCTTAAAAATTTATATTTGACATTAAGTAATTTTTATATCAATGGTATGTTTGTCAAAAAATAAATTTAATAAAATTAAAAGAAAAGAAAAGCTTAAAAAAATTTAATTACTAAAATAATAATTTATGCATTTGTCCTTCAATAAAAAATGATTATATTATTATTTTTATTTTATTGAAATAAAAAGGGATACAATCAATAATTTTTAAAACATTACAAATTTTATAATAATTCACTGTGATATCAACGTCTAGTCTCATGACTAGTAAGAAAGAATCATACTGTACCATACCGTATTGGTCCTATAATAAAAGCTCTATTTATACTACCAGTACGGTACAGTACGATTTACTGGCCATAATATTATAAAGAACCAGTACAGTACAGTAGGATAATGCTGGTCACAAAAGAAGGAAAAAACAGTTGCCATTTCGCTCTTAAATGAACATAAAGAGCCTTTGGATTATACCATTAGCTTAAAAGACAAAAAATCACATTCTGGTCGCAAATAGAAAGAAGAAACCGTTACTTAGTTATAAGAAAAAGCAAGTAATAATAAATAATAAATTAAATGATGAAGTAGTAACTTGGACCAAGAGAATTTGTTGGGGGGGGGGGGGGGGGGAGAGGGAGAGCGTTTTAATAATGATACATCAATAGCTGCGTCTTCATCAAGGAATACGAGCATTTTAATGGTGATGGTTTTATTCCTCTGCATCTTGATCTCGGTATCTGTACCACCAAGGTCGTCACAAGTGTTAAATTCAAGAGTTATGAGCGTTTCAATGATGAATAACATGCTGAATAACTATTATCAACTGTATTTGTGGCTATGCAATAATCCAAATATCTTACAAATCGCAACCACAATAGAAAATCGGGATCATAAAGTAAGATTAAAAAGGAATTTTATTTTAACAAAAAAATTGGTTTTGAGAATTAAGAAATGCTTATTATAGGCAAAATTTGATTATGATTATCTGGAAGATCTCCTCTTTCGGGTTTGTGATCCTTATAATGCAGTTGAGGATTTGGTCCAGTAAGTGATATCAATTCAGTTGATGGTATGTTATAGAATAGTTAAAGTTAAAAACAGTATGTTAGTGACTCTCGAAATAAATAACGGAAAATTTATTGAATCATTTAAAAAAACAAGGTAAAATAATTTTATTTTATTTATTGTTTATTTATGATTCTCATTTTGTATCTAATAATAATTTTTTATACTAGGAAAATTCCCTCTATTTTACCACGAAAAGAAGAAATATTTGAAGAAACAACAAAATTTGTATCAATATGATGGCTAAATGTCACAAAATGAATGAGTTAAAAGCGGATAGCTCGATTATTTATTTATGCTTATTAAATGGACATTTATTATTAACTTAATATATTATAACAAAAATTATTGTTGAATGAAAAAATTTCGTCTGCAATTTACAATTGTAAGAACTGGAAAAAGTTTTTATTTAATAATTTTATTAATATTTTAATTTAATTACAAAAGATAATTTATTTGATTGCTATAATCTTTATTATTTTTTATTGTTATAATTTAATTATGTTTTATTTATTATTGCTTTACATTTTTTTATACATTTGCAATTGAAAATAGTAAAATGATTTATTAGAAACAAAAACTAAAAAATCGGTCAAAGGTAAAATCTTAACCTTATTAATTCATTTAATATCATTAGACATGTGTTCCTACACTTTCGATTGGTTGACGTTCATATCAAATGGATAGAAAATCCTCAAGAGCCAATGAAAATGTGATAATCTCGAATCTCTTTTTGGTGGTGCTTTTTACATTTACCATCGAATCGGATTGGGTGAAATTTATGTCCGTTCGAAAGAACCAAATAGATTTGGGATAATGCTACCTCACCACTATCCCTGACGCGTTATTGAGTCAAACATTTAATTGAATGGGCTGCATGCCTAGCCTAGAGAGATTCCGATCCTTATAAAGCTTTAAAATTTTTGTCTAAGATCGGAATCTTTCTATCTTTTTATTAGAGAAAATTAATGCTTTTGTAATTGGATAAACAAAGTACAAATATAGTATAATTTTTTTTATTTGAAAATAATAATAAAAACAATTTTGATATTTAAAAATAAAGAATGTTACACAAAAGAAGAATGTTACACAAATGATGTTGATGTGTCGTTTTTAAATTCTATCACCGGACGGATCGGACGATAATTTTTGTTAAATGATGTCGATCAGGTAACCTTTAAACAACCGGTTAATCAATTAGATAGATTAATAAGAAAAATACCTTCAGGCATCATTTATGTCGTAATCATACGCTCTCGAAATATATTCTAAAGAAAAAGTTATCAATCACTTAGATAAATATCATTTGATTTATCATTAAAATAAATAATATTATATACGTGCCTGTTTTAGATTCTGTTGAAATAGATGAAGTTCTGGAAATTAAGGATCCTATTGGCCTACTTGTATAAATTGCTTTTGGGTGAGTTTTGTCGCTAAATTTAGGACCAAGTTTTTCTAAACTTAATAATTCCATTCTTTTTTTTTCTGCTTTATCAAATTGATAATTAGACATTGTAAGCCAAATGCGGAGTTTTATACAAATATCAGTTATAGAAGGTCTTTCCAAAGGATCAGTATCCAAACATTGTTTCATTAAATCAGCATAGCATTTAGGTGTATCCTCTGTAACCTCAGGACGTTCTCCATCAATAATTTTAATAATAAGGTTATGGTCGTGTTCAACGTTATTAAAAGGTTTAACGCCCGTCGTGCATTCCCACATTATCATACCCAAACTATAAATATCAGATGCTTGGGAAACGAGCTTCCCACTCAATATTTCCGGCGCAATATAAGGAATTACACCATATGTTTCATTATTTAATATGATGTTATTTGCAGGTTGCGATAATCCCAAGTCTCCAATCTGACATTGACCATTAACAAGTAATATATTTCCGCTATGAAGATCGTTATGTATATACTTTGCCTTGTGAATACTTTCAAGCCTAAAAAAGGGGGAACGGTACAAAATCAGTATCATATCATAGATTTATTAAAAAACGAAATCGATATATCCAAATATAAATACCCCTTTGAGATTTCCAAAATAATTGCTATTTTCTTTTTCCATCCAATGTTTGCAAAATGATTTTGTAAGTATTCATGCAAAGTTCCTCCTTTTGCATAACGCATTACAAGCATATATTCATTTGTATCGGGATTCTTTGTAATTCCATAACACCGAAGAACACAACCGTACTCTTCATAACAACAATGAAGTGATTTTAACTGTTGATTGTAAGAAATTAATATAATTTAATTACCGTTCAATATGAAAGTAAAACATCAAACGTAATGTAATTACCTCATTCAAGAAATATCTGTTAAAATCTTGTGACTTCATGAATTTTTTTATGGCTACCGTTTCATTTTCCCGCCTCTCATGAGGATAAAATTCACGTCTTCCGCCATTTATCCAAATGGCTTGAGAAATAATACTAAAACCACCTTGTGCAATTTCTTTAACGATTCGGAGTTGATTATATGGGATCAATTCGATAGCCGTTTGATCCATATTTATATTTTGAATAAGCTTATAAATATTAGGTGGATAAAAATTTTGTTTTATATTATTGAGTAAGTAATTATGATCAAAATTTTTAAATCTTATGCTGTGAAGGAACTCATCAATGTCGTTATGTCCACAGATGATATTTTCCAAATTGATGAAATTGATGGAAGAATGTTTCTTGCATTTGATACAATGAGATTGTTTTGAAGGACCAAAAATGATATTTAACATCAAACAATGTCTACATGCAGTATAAAATATACAACATTCGGAACAACATTTTTGAGATTGGGTGATAACTTCTAACATTTTCTTGCAAACCAAACATTCTTCAAAATTATCCCACCACGGTAAATAGAGAATTGGGATTGATTTTTTATATGCTGATTCTATCCACCCATAAGTAACTAGATAACAATCCGAATACATCCTGGACTCATTATTCAACTTTACATTTCCACATAATTTACAGCCCGTCTCCTGTAGCCAAAAGAAGTTTGTATATATTTGCTTGTAACAAAAAATGTTTTCACAGCATAGCTGTATCATATTTTCGAAATCATTACTAATATTTAACTCTCGGTTAATTGATAAGTTTGTCGTCGCGGATGTAAGAAAATATTCCTCTAACTTGTCGATAATTTTCTTTCTCATGATCTCATGACCGACCCTGTTGTCTATTGGTGTCAATGTACGATGCTGAAAAATTTCCAAGTGATTTTTCTCGAAAAGCTCATTGACGTATTGCATTAAGCATTTCTTGCAATATAGTTGATAATACCAATGTACAAATACTCTTATGTATCTATTTCCGCAAACATAACAGTATCGATCGGTTGGATTA